TTGAAGAAGCGTTGATTTGCTGTTGTACACGATTCCAGTACAACAGCAAATCAGCGCTTCTTCAAGATTTAAAAAATATGACATCACCACAGGGTACGTGACCCCAGCATAGTTTTGACAAAATTTTGCAAAAAAAACGAAAATAATTCGCTTATTTAACAACCTTAGAATGAACTTTTGAAGTTAAAACTTTGAGAGAATGTAGTAAAATTACCAGTGTTTGAAATGATGTAGATTTTATATTGTTTTTGTTTGTAATTTGCGAAATATTCATACTCTAGTAAACGTTGTAATAAATTTCCGTTAAAAGTCTTGCCAACCTTGTCATAATAATAAACTGAGTAGACTCGACGCATGCCTGAGCGCCACGCGCGAGGGTAAAAATTACAACACGCACTTTTGGGCAGCCTATGTTATAACGTGCAAACATCCTCTGGAAGAGGTCTACAGGAGGAAATTTGTGAAAAGGAAGAGAAGAGACTGGAAACTAGTGTGTTGCTATGACAACCACATGACCTGCAGAGAATATTCATATGGATGCATCCACTAAGTGTACCAAGTTTCATTGAGTTTTATTAAAGAGTCACCAAAATATCAGACTTTCTTGTTATTGCCATTATCTCGAGTCATACTTGTGACGTCACAACTCAAGTACTTTTAAGAGTTCAGCAGTACTTTTTAGTAAAACAATAAAAAATGAGGTAAAAATTTCGTTTCATAAGCACTTTAAGTTGTATTTTAATAATTTTGTAGCACTAGAAATACATGCATCTAGAAACCCCTCGCCGTACCAGCTAGTTATGTGCAAAATTCTAAAATTATTGAAAACCACGTTTTCAATAGGAGGAAGTCATTGACCTTGTAATCTTGCCAAGTAGCTGCAAGTATTTTGCGTGTTGCACTGCAGGTTGAAAGCCTTGTTTCATCGGCTTTTAAACGCACCAATAAACATCTCTGTCTCTGAGACTCAGAAGGCTAGCAAGGGATCTAGTTTTGCGTCTTTTTCCTCTGTTGTAAATAAATATATATACTCGTGTAAAGTGACTTTGAATATTTAGCATTATTCAATTGTACTATAATAGCTAGGTCTTGGGTAACACCCTTTCCTCCCGCTGACGTGTGTTCTCTCACTCTTGCTCTATAATAATTGTATTTCATTTTATCTGATGATGACTTATTGACTTTGAAATAAAGCCGGAAATGCACAGTTTCAAACGTTCGTCAGACGTCTTGTTAGTTTAAATTTTGACTTTAAACATTGTATTATTAGTAATTATTATTTGGAATTTGTTTCTTTTATATCTGTAAGATAAATTCTCCTACTAATCATTTTACTCACCGTAATTGACAATACTTTCGATGTGTCTAGCAAGACTAGCATAGACTTGAAGAAATGCTTTCTTGGTTTCCTTTAATAGCAATTCAATAGCTACGTTACTGGATTATTGCTCAACCAAAGACAAGAAGTGTTAGGGAACTGGCTTAGGCCAGCTGTTTTATATGTCGAATTTTGGTCGCGTCCAATGCAATTAAGACAATAGATAATGAAATGTTAAACCTCATTAAGCTTCATTATCTATTGTTTGAATGGAAAACGGCCTTAATTTAAGGCGGAATTTTGCACGCGGCCAGAGCGGAATTTTTCTTTGTCTTCAGTGATTTTTCGGGTGGAACTAACTAGAAATAACAAAGAAAAATTCCGCTCCGCGCTGCCCGAGAAATCACAAGACAAAGAAAGATTCCACTCCACGCCCGGAATTCCGCCTAGTGGAAAACCGGCTTTAGAATCGCCGGCGATTTTGCGTTGGTTAATTAATTTAAGGAGGCTCCCTACAGTTTAACGTTACAGCGCACAACTGTGTTTTAAGGCCCGTTATTTCCTCAGTTAGCAAGATATAATCACGAAACTTGCACACAACTTTGCGTCAAAACTAAGGATTAGGAAAAACAAACAAGTCTTTAAATATTCTCGTTGCCATGGCAACAAGGTAATTTAAAAAAGATCGTATTTTCTTTCTTTGATTTTTTGAATTTCCTTTGTTTATATTTTCTGCACACTTTTTGAAATTTTTTTGAAGATTTATGGTTGATAGAGGAATAACATATTAAATTTTGAATAGCCCTAAAATCCAGTTGAAGCTGCGGTCTGCGCAGCACGGACGTATTCGACATGATCACTATTGCGCATGCGTGTAAATTATAACGCGTAAATAACACAAAACGCGTGTAGTTTATAGTTATTTTCACTGTGAGTTTTTGGCTTACATATATCACACAGATATTTTTACTTATTTGATCGACATGAAAATAAAGCTAGATATACAGGTTGTCTAAAAAAAACGCGACCTCCCCCCCTCCCCCCCCCCGTCGCCAAAAAAATTTCGGTCAGTGTACCATTTTAGGGGTCAAAAAAATTTTCCGGACAACCAATATTTTTTGGAACATGACACAAATTTTCGAAAAATCACAAAATTTGCCAAAAAATTGACTTAATTTTAGACAAAATTAACAGAATTTGTCCCATTTTTTTTTATTGCAAACCGAAATTGCCCGACTGTTGAACGAATATTGCCCGACTGCCCAAAAAACTGGGGGGTGGGCTACCGCCCCCCCCGCCCCCCCGCCCAGTACGCCTATGGTTGTTTACCTTGCAGGCATATATAAAATTTTAATCTCTTATGAAAGTCAACATCCTTAATTAAACTTCCCTATAGCTAATAAAAATCTTGTTTGTAACTGTTCACAATTTATTTTGTAATATTACTGAATTATTTGAATCACTTCGACAATTAAAACAGTTTGAAGCGTGTTACAGTGAAAACCGCATATACGTATACGAACCTATATTTTTCAAATTAGCTTTCACTGTGAAATTAGGCTATTTATACGGGTTCTTATTTTCTTTATACAAAAGTTTGTTGATGTTGTCATCTAGTGTATTTTCATTGAAGATACATTTTTTGTTACCTTGTTTTTATGCATGCATGCATGGTTCTATAGTAGTATAGAGTTGTTTATGACATGCATAAGTTCATTATACACATGGCATTTAAGGTTACAGAACACCTTTGAGTGTTAATTTTACCTAAAATTTTTTTATTGGTTTCCATGAAAGCATTAGACTAGTTCTACTATACCTGACCAAGTTTGAACGAAAAATGTTGAAAACTCGCAGAGTTATTTAATAAAATACATTTCGCTGCAATAAGAAAAACATTGAAAATGTAATATTCAAATTCAATTTTCTCCCGAAGATTTTACGGGTAATTACTGATTTTCAAACGAGTTGTGCTCCTGCGGGTTTTGACCAATTTTTCTCAAATTTTCACAGGACATAGCTAAAGACGTCAGTTTCAAAATTGTGTTCGGCTTTGTTCTAATTTTGGATATTTTAATAATAAAGAGCAATTCACTCAAACAATTCAGAAATATATTGCAGTCGTCAAAGAAATCGCCATATCAGCGGAATGACGAAATAACTACAAAAATTTCCGAACACAATTTTTTAGAACAACTATTTTACTGTTTAAAAATGATATTTTCATAAATATAACTTAAAACCAGCAGGAGCATAACTCAAAAGCGTAACGGTACCGCGATTTAAGATTTTCCTGAATAATTCTTACATTATTTTATTGTTTGTTAATTTTATAACTTTACCATATTTTGCATGCACTGGCGAACATTTGGTGAAAATTTGATGAAAATCGGACTGATTTTGAGCGCACAGTAGCGATTTTCCGCAAAACGCCAAAAAGGGTGTCCTGTAACCTTAATTATTTTAGAGCCTGGCTTGAAATTGCAACCTATAGAACTCGGGTTCGTACGTAAAGGAGGCGATATGGAAATTCTTAGTCTCACAGGTACTTATAGGTTCTTGTATGCGGGTTTCGACTGCATGTATATCTTTATTTTGCACTTTTTAAAATTATGGTCAGCTAAACAACAGACTTAAAGCGTCACATATTTTCCAATTCGTCTGGTTAATTAGACATATCACAATGAACAAACCTTCAAAGTCAAGAAAATGTACCTAAATGTAAAGCAATTGTGGAAAAGCATGTATTATACGTTAGCAATTGTCATAAATAAGGTCTTCACGTACTGCAATAACACCTCGGAGGGCATCAATGATTTTCTTGGCTTTCGAATTTGACATTTCCAAGAACGTTTTCAGCACGTCTTCACCGTACGAATCCTTATTTTGTTGCAGGTCTATCTCTTTCACGTCAACTAAGGAAATTCTCCATGGGGAATCTCTATATCGGTGGCTACCCTGGTCGTGCATGAACATCCAACCAATCGTTGCATATGCAATATATTCGAAGAGCGCGTGGACTTCTGGACTGTTAGGATATTGGATTTTCACGTTCTTCCCCATTTCAAACATGTACTTTACAGTTGCGTTGAGAATATTGGTGATTCTAGCAATGGCTTCTGGTATGGTGGTGATTTCTTTGTTGTGTAACCATACCTTGATTATACTGTCGCAGTAAATCAAACTTTCGGTTGTTTCTCGATAATACGAGTACACGTCGTTTGTAATAATACAGCATAAGGATGAGACCACATACATCTCGGTTATCGTTGGAATAAACTCCTTTGTTTTTCCCAATGAAAATGAAGATATCTCTACATACAGCAGCAAAAACAGAGGTCCACCTCCAAATATACGCCTCCACAAAGTTTCGTTGTCCGAATCTTCTGGTGTCATATTCTTTTCGGATTTCACTGCTTTTAAGTAGATTGATACTGAATTCGATAATCGTCGTCGGAATTCAAACACTACGTCTTCCGAAACGCTGCCGTGCGTCAGTATAGCGCATGTTACTTTGTTGACAAAATCCATGCACAAAGTAACCGGGGCTATCAACTTTGCTTCCGACAGAAACTTGAGCGATGACTGCATTTCCTTCACGGTTGGAATTTTTGGAAACGTTTCACATAGTTGTTCATCTAACTTGTCATATGCATTGCAAATTTTCCCCATGTCGTTTAGGTCGCATTCCGTTTCCATTCTGTCATCGCAACGGTAAACGGCAATAACGAAATGTAGGAATATTTTAAACGCTTCTCGACACAAACGATTGTTGGGAAGAATTGGATAGAGTAAGCGCGCAAAGTAGTAAGGTCTTACTATTTTTACATACTTTCGAACCATATTTTCATCGGCTATCTCACATTCAACGACCCATTTTATAAGCCCATCAATATCAACAAGTTCGGGATCTGGCTGTTCCTTGAGAACTTCTTTCTCCAAAAAAGCCCAGTTACTTGGAATGCGAACTTCGTTGCTACATGACATACTGATGGCCTTTAAAGATAACAAAAAAGAAATAACCTTTATTATATATAATGTTTTCGCGAGTTAATATTCCGAGCTCGTGCATAATTGTTAAAGATTCAGGCAATATTTGCAGCAGCACTCCCCGTGCCTTGCAAAACGCTTCACAAAACGCCTTCAATGGACCTTTAACCTTATAACTAACATTTTGATCTAGACAAAAATTTCATCACAGCTTGAAAGAGCATCACAAAATTAGTAATAATCCAAAGTTTCGTTACGAAATGGTGTAAAATGCGGATAATATAGCCCTGCGAAGTTTGCAATTTTCAGTCATTTTAAATTACAAACGGGAAATTGATACCCAAATCGGGTGTTTAGTTATAAGGTAAAGGTCCATTCCATAGCACATTGTGATGTTTGCGAGTTTCCAACAGGGTATTTGGAGAGTCAGATCGCTCCCGTTAAGACGTTTACATTTTTCCGGGGGGCGGGGGAGTATGCCGAACGCCCAAATACCAAGCCATGGGTGACGCCATGAAGAATTAACATATTTGTCAAAGCAATACCTATTATGCAACAATAAATCCATTAATAATAACTTCAACAATACACGTTGTATACAACAGTGACCACAAACTGTCAACATTTTGCGCAGATACATTTACGCCTAGCGTGCCTATTTTTATATACTAGGGAGATGTAAGCATCATGGGGTGAGCCTGAGCCAGAGCAATGATAGCCAGCAACTATCATGCAACAATCATGCAACAATGATTACTAATGTCAACCTTTCTTGTTTCCGCACTCAATTTAATTAATTAAACTATCGTTGGCATTGCAATATTTATAGTGTCGAAATTTCAAAGGCAAAACTCGTAGTATTATAAATGTTGGGAATTGTATTTCTAGCCGTGTATTATGTTTGATATTTTGTTCAAAGGCAAAACTCGTAGTATTAATGTTGGGAATTTTTATTTCTATCTATGTATAAGGCTTGTTCTAAACGGCGCATTTTACATGTGCCGAATGTATTCAAAACAATAGATAATCAACTGAAATGCTAGCCTCCTCCGCAGGCATCTCACTGAGGAATCGGGTGGTGAGAAAACCAGAAAATATTTTTTCAAAACCCATTCGCAGGCTAAAACCCATAGAGAGACCTGCGGAGGAGGCTACTGAAATGCCTCATTATCCATTGTTTTGAATGCATTGGGCGCATGTAAAATGCGACGTTTAGAACAGGCTTTATATTTGATATTTTGTTAAAACATTAAACACGTTATTGAAATCACAATCTTTTCAATCTTTCATGCATGAAATATTGAAATAAACAATATAGAAATGGTTGAATGCATGGTTTTTGGCACGCGCGCTAAAAATAGCAGATACATTCATGGCACTGCATGTAAACAAAACATTTATATACATACAGAGCCGGTTGCAAAAACTTGCAAATAAGGTCTTTTTCAAAGTTGGGTTGCGGTACGTTTGGGTCCGTATAACGGAGAAGGAAAGACCAGAAAAAGTGGTTGCCAAAAACAATAATGTCGAGCCATTGGGCCATTCCATTTAATATAGGCACCCACCCCCCCGTATTAAGGGGTCTGGATATCCTATGGGGGAGGGGGGTTTTACCTTAAAATTTTCTAGAGGGTAGCTTAAGAAATTTTCAAAAAAATAGCAAAAATTAGGTGTTTTAGTGATATACAAGGGGGTAAAAACGATATCCTAAAGGGGGTACAAAGAAATCCATGGGGTAACTTCCAAAAATCGCATCCAAGGGATTCTAAAATTCTTATATCCTAAGAGGATTATGAAGGGACCCCTCAATAGGGGGGGGGGGGTGCCTATATTAAATGGAATGGCCCATTGACTCGAAATCTTGTTTGGAGAAAGAAGCCTCACTGTTGAACAGTACAAAAGGCCACAGGAACATAATCCGGTTCCTTGAATTTTCAACTGATGATGGAGTATTCTTGTTTCGATTTTCGCCCGTTTGGAGTTGCAAAAAGTCTTTGCACTCTAGACAATTTTGTGCATTTCGTAGACGAGTTTGACTTTGCTTTGCCTCGTTTGCAGACTTGCTGCCAACATGTGCCGAAGATGTTGTCGCAGATTTGAAATATTTGCACAACAAGAATATCGCTCACCGGGATCTAGTGAAACCGGCAGGAAACATATGGCTGACTTTGGCTTAAATAAGTCTCTCGACTTACAAACCAAGTAATTTTTTATGTCAATGAAATCACCGTTTTGGCTTCCCCGAACTTTCTCACCTTGCATTTTTTGGCTTGCATTCTTTGGCGTAAAGTATGTGATACATCATATACTTGAAAAAGTATGCACTGAATGAAAATTAAGTAGTGCAAAGTGATTATCTTAAATCATAATATTTATTGAATGATAACGATATTCTTGCTGTGCAAATATTTCAAACCTTCGACAACATCTTTGGCACATGTTGCGGGCATGAAGTCTGCGAATGAGGCAAAGTCAAACTCGTCTACGAAATGGACAAAATCTTCTAGAGAGCAAAGACTTTTTGCAACTCCAAATGGGCGAAAATCGAAGCAAGAATACTCCATCATTATTGAAAATTGAAGGAACTGGATTATGTTCCTGTGGCCTTTTGTACTGTTCAACAGTGAGGCTTCTTTCTCGAAACAGGATTTCGAGTCAATGGACTCGACATTGTTTTTGGCAACCACTTTTTCTGGTCTTTCCTTTGTATTTTGCTAGGTATACGGAACCCAACTTATTTTCTTTTTCGAAAAGTTTCCACTCTAACTTTGGCAACTCTGGATCCTTTTTTGCCTTTCTTTTCAGACTTGTTGGGATTTTAAAGCTTGCTGCCATTTTGTTCCATTTGACAAAAAGGAAAAGTCCTGGCCCCTGGGAACGAGGTTGCCATTTTGGTCAAATTTTGGCGCGAAATTGTGGTCCTAGTCCGCGTTTTACTAATAGAGTCCAGTCCGCGTTTTACTAATAGAGTCCAGTCCGCGTTTTACTAATAGAGTCCAGTCCGCGTTTTCCTAATCTGAGTCCAGTCCGCGTTTTCCTAATCTGAGTCCAGTCCGCGTTTTACTAATAGAGTCCAGTCCGCGTTTTACTAATCTGAGTCCAGTCCGCGTTTTACGTCCAGTCCAGTCCGCGTTTTACTATATGCCCGCAAGGCACCCTTGCATCCAATTAAAATTAACTGTTTAGCATTGTGATTGGATGAAAGTGCTCATGCATCACTCGCAGCGAGCTGTGAGGAGCTTCGTGCGAGGACTGGAAATCCGCCTTAAGAGAACGTTTATTTTTAAAATTACTTCGCCAATGAAGTTATAAGATGAGTCGTTTTTTAAGTTGTTTACAACATTCGCGTCCGTGTTGTATCGGATATACAAACTCTCGCCTTCGGCTCCAGTTTGTATATCCGATACAACACGGCCGCTCATGTTGTAAACATTACATATAAGTCAATTTTGTTAATGATTATATCATGCAGGACCCCACGGAAAAACGGGTGTAGGTAAAACATGGCCCTAGCCCATGGCCCAGTGTATGGCCCAGGCCATGGCCTAGTGTATGGCCCTACCCTTGGCCCAACTGTTTTTTTGTTTAATTTTAATTATTTCCTCCGTCAGCAATAATTTTCGGATATGCTAATGACTAAAAATCATGTTACAGCCCCTTTCCACCCACAAATCTGCATATAAACGTCCAAAATTATCAGGTTCAAGCATGTAAAGCATGCACGCTAGAAAAAACTTTATTTGCGCATGCGCTGAATTATAAATAATTAGGGTAAGATGAAGTCTATACTATTCAAACTGAACGATTTTTAGGTACCACTGACAATACCGGTATGGTCGAACCCCTGAAGCCAATACTGCCAATGATAAGTGCATATTAATTTCAAGTCTATCAAATTCTTCACAATCTTAATTTAAAAACAATCTAAATCTCAATTGCAACTGATGACACTTCATAACAAATGTCAAATATTATATTTAATAACTCTCATCTTTGTTCTATAACTAGAGGTTTAATTAAAAAAAAAGAAAACTTTCAGGGTTGTTGACATAGACCTCTGGGACTATAGATTCGGAATCTGCATAATTTTGCAACTTTGGAAACTTTTTGACTTGTTTTCAAGTCTGTGAATCTTGTGTTTTTTTGTATTTAAAAGGTTTCGATCATCAATAACATAATAATTATCTGGTCTGTAAAGTGTAATAATATGTAAATATTTAACAATTATACCATGAGCTCGAGTCGTATATGAGCTGATAGCCGACGAGGTGCGTAGCACCGAGTTGGGTATCAGCCATATACGACGAGAGCGAATGGTATAATTGTTTTATAATATAGTCTACTATAGCCATTAACTGAAGCAGTAATTAATTATTCACTGTTACAATGTATTGACAATTTGTTCGGCCAAAAACCGCTTGAAAATTTGAAATACTTTTGTTTTACAACTCGAAGACGAAGTGAAAGAAATGGTTTTAGAACCTCTATATCTCGCAGGAAAGCTCAGATATATAAAACAGATGTTTGGTACTATAGTAAGTGCTTGTTGACTGCAAATTCATTTGTCGTTCATTGCAAACTTTTCTGAACAATTTATATTCTCAATGAACATGTTTTTTCGCTGTTGTTTCGGTATTAATTCTTTAAAAAACTTGTATTTAAACTAATTTCTACGTAATAAATGTATTTTGCTAACCTGTCAAATTTTTTTTGAGAGTTTTTCCTTGTACTCTTATGTTTCTCAAAGCGAATATTTTCCTTTTTCTGCTTCGCAAAACTCATGTAGTTTTTGGACCGCCATCTTGTTTTTCGCTACTCGCCGTATATGAGCTGATATACGGCGAGTAATTCAACCAATCAGATTGCAGAACAGCTCATATACGGTGGATGACTATATTATAATTCAACATATTTTAAAAAATAAACAGCGTCCAAATGTAATATTTCTTCAAACTCACCTCGATCACTTCATTTTTTTTATTTTAAACACGATTTTCTAAAATTCAAACGTTTATAAACGTTAGAGTGCTCTCAACATTACTTTCGTTAAATTGCAAGACAAGCATCTGCTCGTATTGATAGCAAAAAGGCCACAAAGCTAAAAGAAACGATAAAAACTCACTCCACGAAACGATGTAGTTGTGCGCCATGCGGCCGACATTGATTCTCTCACGTGAACATGTGTTGTTTGGTTGTTCGTGCTTTGTGTAATAATAGTCCATATTATGTACTAATCGTAAAACGCGCTGGCTGGTGACTGGTCAAAACTTATTTCGTATTTTAATAGCTCAAATCAATATTATATAACATATATGAAACGTATATGAACTCAACACGTTAAAATAATTTTGACATAATTTAAACATCTAAATTGAAGGAAAAACAGGTGGGCCAAGGGTAGGGCCATACACTGGGCCATGGCCTGGGCCATGGACTAGGGCCATGTTTTACCTACACCCCGGAAAAACACATTAGTGCATGATGTGGGTATCCTGGATAAATATAACAAGTTATAAATAAAAAATAAATAAGTATAGTTGAATCGCTATCTATCTCAATTTTGTGGTGTGTTTGGTACTGCCTACGCTGTCACAGATCATTTTGATACACATTACTAATATTGAATGAGAAACGCTCTAAAAACACTCTGATTTAAATTTTCTGGCGAACACCTAGAAATACAACTAGTTGGGTTAACTTACAATATTCCTGGCTAAATCGAATTATTATTAAATTGTATTAATCAATATCATTTTGTTCTATGCGGTATGTAATTAATACATGTCTACATGTGATACATCTATTGGCATCATTGAACACAATTTAAATTGACATAAAATAACTACAAAACTAATCGCAAACAAGTTGACTTTGAATTAACCTGAGTATCAGGCCCTTATGTTTTCATTCCCAGGATTGCCCGCCTCGCTGCCCGCGCACTTTGTAGCGGAAGACAAGAAAAATAAAGCCCGATACTCAGGTTAACTTTGAATACAAATAAAATTGGAGTATATCTTGATAAGTTCTGTACATTACTTGTCTAATAAGGACTGAAATAAGGTAATATTTAACAAATATAAAACATTTTCTGTGTTTATATAGTTATATCAACACGAGTGGAATTGGGAAAACGAGAAATTGTATGGAAACACGACGCCCGAAAGGCGGAGTGTTTTCCTACAATTTCGAGTTTTCCCAACTCCCACGAGTGTTGATATAACTATATATCAATATCAATTGTTCATGAAGGAAATCCAATATGGAGACATGCTTGATGTTGTAATTCTCATCAAAAGCATACAACACAAAATCGTCCTTATCACATATTACAGACTCATGTCCAATCGTCCAACATTTCTTTTTGGAGGATCGGGAAGAAGAACAACCTCCAACTAACCATTCAATTCAGTTGTTGGACCAATTCTTCACTACTAGACGCCTTCATCACCATCTCAGGTGTGTTTAGGATTGGATGAAATGTACGATCCTTCAACTCTATTCCAGGCCAGGTAAATGGGTTGGGAGATTTACTGCTATACTTGGAAGAAAAATCATATAAAGCATGATTGATGAACAAAACAGGCATTATGTTTTCTAAACGTTCAGCTTTCCTCAGCATTGATTTCGGTCCTCCCTTGAGAAAAACTGCGAACATTTCTTGGATTGCTGGTAAAGCATGTAGGTCTTTAAGTGACAACAAGCAGGCAGTAGTTGCGGCTTCCGGGTTTTCAAGACCCAATTCAAGAATACTAGCTGCCACACGTAACTTGCAAGCCATAATCCGATCTTTGATGCTCAGAGATTTGTTGCTGAAAGCAAGCGTGGCTGCCTCACGAGATGCTTTGAAACAATCCCGAGCACAAGCGAACCGCTTATAGGACGAGATTTTCAATTTTCGAATCGCTTGAGGAAGTGATAAGGCTGCGTTCGAAATACCAGATGCTGTATCATTCATATCTCTTGTTGCTTCGTCTGCTGGACCCTCGCTCGCTTTCTGATCTTCATTTGACTTATCAATGGCAAGATTCAACAATTCCACACTTTCTTCCAGGAAACTATAACTGGCATAGAGATCCTTATTAAGCGACAGACAGTCGAGTTTCGACTTGATATCGGTCAAATCCTTAACAATTATTTCACGCAATTTTTCTTCCGATAAATCTCCGTCGTTGAGTTTATTTGCAGCACTATCACGAGCTTTGTCGCACAATAAACCCACGGTTGAAAAGCAATATTATTGACTGATTTTATACGCATCCAGTGCTTCCACTTTCAAAAAAACATAATTTCCTTCCAGCCGTTCAAAATTTCCTTATTTTTGACAGCCTGCTTGCCCCAAATTCCAGGCGGCAAGCAGGCTAAGATTTTTCTACATAAATTGAATAAATTCGATAAAATTGTCTTTGAACTCTTTCTGGAAAGCCTAAAAACTCAGAAAAACCATAACTTGTCGCGTGGTTTTTTGCCGAGTTTCGTCACATTTCGGCAGCTAAACAATATTTGCTTATTTTATGTGCCTTAGATAAAAGTTGTGTTGTCTGATTTTACTTATAGTCCTCCAGTATTATACAGCTCAGTGGGAAAACCCAACCCACTGGGAAACCTAAGTCAACAGGGGGGGGGGGGGGTAGTCACCAACCTTTTTAGGGAATTGTGGCAATAAAACGTGAAATACAAGTAAATAAATATACTACAGACACAGGAACCCTAGCTACACTTTTGTGTGCCTTTTTTGAAAACATTGATTTTAACGTAATTCTTCGCACCAAAGATGTAACCAAAGATGTTTTGAAGTAACATAAAATTGTCATAAAATGATTTTTCTTTAAACGGTACGTATAATGGATGAAATTATAAGTTATACTGAGACTGTGCGCAGTAAAAGTGCGCAATGCGAAACTGCGGAATTATCTTAAGTATCCAGATTTGGGATACTGGATTATCGGGAGGGATACCAAATTTTAAAACCTTGGTATCCATGTGGACACTTAAAAAATCAAATTTCAGACCCTGCAGGTCCCCTGCTAAATATGTCTCCAGTTACACATCCTTAAAAGAGGCCCTGAAGGCCTGAACCAAATCAGTGTTATACCTCATAGCAATAAGTGATTATTAAAAGCAATGCATGAAGCTAGAAAACTCAACGTTAACTATAATTAAAGAATCTAAATAGTATATAAGCTATTGAAAAAAAATGTTGCGAAAGAGAGAGTGGCAAAAAAAATCGTACATGGTGATGAGATAGGAAAAAAATATCTTGCACATAACGATCCCAGAAAAAAAATTCCCTCCCAGTAGTAAATCACCCTCTCAAAAGTTAAATGGTCGGCCCCTAAAAATAATACAGCATGTATTAAACAAAACATTTAATACATGCATATCACGAGCGTTTCATTGTGCTTTGCTCTCGCTAATCATAATCGCACTGAGCCCACGTATAGATATGGTGTGGTCATCTGAATTGAACGAGCGTTACATATTCACTCCAGGGGCGCACATTAGGGGGGGCGTGGGGGGGGGGGTGGTGACAACCCCCATGTTTTGTGAAATGTATATAAAAAGTCGGTCCCGAAACCTGAATGGGACAAAAAAAGTCGGTCCGGCTAAAATCTGAAAGACATCATTTTGTGTCGAAAAAAGTAATAGGTGGACATTTTGGAAATGAAAATTGCCTAAAAATAACAAAAACGTATACACAAACCAAGAGATCAATCATATTATACTAGCAGCAAATAATCAACTTTCGCGTTGCAACAGTTCTGCCAAGTACGTAATGCGATCAGATTACCTCAAGCCCCCGCGGTGCAGTTAAAAGGCGCATTGTTAGTCTTGTCGCACAAACTGAAAGTCTGAAACTTTGAAAGGCAGAAGTTCAGCTGCGTAGCCAAGAGGGAGGCTCGGGGAGCCCTGCAATGGGCGAAGGACTGCGCTTGTGAAAAGCTGAAAGCCGGCAGAAATTGTTGGGTGGGTACGATATGTGAAATGTGAATAATGATACCCATCTCTTCTGTTTACCAATAAAAGTTGTAGTCTTCCCTATCTAGAATCCTATCTCCAGTAAACAATGCCTATACATTGAAAGCACATTTGAACTTGAATTTGCGCGCATAACAGCAGTCATTACCGAGTTGTACAAAAGGAAGACATCGTGCTATTTTGCTGTTGTATTTGCGTGTAGAGTACAATGTTTTACATAAATATTTTTTCGATCTAACAACAATTAGGCGACTTACAGTGAAAATACAAAAAGTGTCCCACTTCCGCTTCTGTAGTTTGTTGTGATTTACTGATTTGTTCTGTTTTTCTGTAGTGATTACCGATTTATCGGCAAATACCGCGATAAAACTTAGTTTTTTTCTATTTTTATTTCTATTTTTGAAATCCATAAAATTTTTGGACCCCCAAAATTTAGACTGCAGAAGTTCTGAAAACTGAACGTTTATTTAAACTCTTTAAATAGTTGGCTTTTCTTATCAAACAAAAATACTAGAAAAGTCGGTCCCAGAACATAGACCCCCCCCCCCAAACTTTTTTGAATGTGCGCCCCTGATTCACTCTCAATCAAATGTTTTTCATAAGAATTGAAATTAACAAGGAAGAAATTATCATTAATTAGAACGATCGTGACGTACAGATCGGAATGAAATGGTCCGATATTTTCGAATGGAATATAATGAACGAATTCTCTTGGGATTTATGTTTGGTTCGCGAGTTTGTAGTCTTTGTTTGACGATTATTCGTTCATAGTGTAAAATAGAAGAATCCATGGTCGGATCGAGAAAGAAAATACCGAAATAGCGAGTGGTGTAGCCTGAAATCTAATCGATCAAACCCCTTTGTCTTTGATACGGATATACAGCTATTTCAATTAAAGTTGTCCACGAGCAAAGCGGAAAAGTCGAATACGAGCGCGAAAGGCTGCAGGGAATCGCTTTGAAAATTCATTAATTTGTTAGCGATTTCCAGCAGCCTTTCGCGCTCGTATTCGACTTTTCCGCTTTGCTATTGGACAATGGTTTACTGTCCTGTCAACTTCAACGGACGAGACAATTCATCACCATAACAATTAGGCGTGATTGTGATCTTCCCTGTTCAAGACAGCTCATGAAGTAAAATTGTATTCTGTGTAGTGTAGTTTATGTTGTATTTTCTTTGTGTCCTCACGACACACATCCCAGAGCATGTGAACAATCGGTCAGATTATGCAAAATGAGTTTATTTTCTCGCTCGCTCGCCGGGTATCAAGCGATCGTAAAACTCGCTGATCAACCCTCGAAATATTTCAATAAAACTTTGATATTGAATTGAGAAAATACAACATCACATTAATATCATCATTCTTCTCATGTTATAATTAATACATGCAGTGGTTTATTAAGATCCATATATATATATATATATATATATATATATATATATATATATATATATATATATATATATATATATATATATATATATATATATATATATATGTATTAAGATCTCAATAGGCAATTCCCATTATAGCTAAGCATCATAGGAAATGTGGTAGGCTTCACTTGCACGCGAAATGGCCGCCGCGAAGCGAGTATTTTGCATGCGAGAGAAATTGCTTTATCTTTGTACATTTTTTCCAGAGTATTATAGTTAAAATAGAAGTAATGTGTTTGTAATACATTGAAGTATATTGTGGACGAAGTATATCGCAATCGAAGGGAAAGCCGACAAAGCGGGACTGAAAACATGGTAAAAGGAATAAAACGCGGAAAAACGAAGGAGTAATTGTATAGAGCGCTGTAGTTAAATTGTATGTTTATATTATTTTAAAAATTTGAAATATCTGCTCGGCGAAACCAATCTGAATACATATATATCTTTCAAATTTAGTCTTGTTTGCGCGATAACTTCCTAAGTTTATTGGGGAAAATCAGCGCCATCATCTTTGGTTTGACATGCAGCTTTGACTTTGCTCTTTCGTAATTTACGCAATCTAATTATCGCATTTTACGACCCGCGCTTATATACACCACACACGACCTAGCGATTATAAATCAAACTTCTTGATATGAATATATTAGGTCTATTTACTCTATTAGGTGCTGCAATTAGATTTTTACAATTTGAATTTGACTTATGCTGGGGAAAAGCGGGTCACGACCTCCTTTGTGGACTGTGGTTGGTTTAATACGATTGAAACATTACTTGATAGTTAAAATCTACGATGAAAATGAAACGTTGCGGCATCCTAATCGATGACTTGTTTGTTCAGGGATACAATGACAATACGTCTCGTAATCATGAACGAACCCAAATTTCCATAAATCTCACCGAGTTTGCTTATAATGTTTATTCCATATTCTCTTATTATTAATAATAATTGTTATCCTTGCAAGAAAATAAATACACAAAAAATTATTGATGATCGTTTTGTTTTCAATAGAACTGGCAGTGTTTGCACGACTATACTGACTATACTGATGCCAGTTACACTATGCTATCTCGTGAGGTAGTTGTCTGGTAGTATAAGGACTATGCATGGACGCACATTTTGAGAATAAGGGTTAAAGTGCTGACCGACGGACTACCAAGTGTAACTGATTTGTGTTGTCATTCCTCGTTCCTATTCCTCATCCCCCGTTTTAAAGATAGTCTTGCATGTGCAAACTGTTTCTGAATAATAAACACGGATTATTGTATAGACTCACGCTGGCTTTTGTAACACTGTATAGCTACTGCTCAAAAGAATGTAACAATCTATACAAGATAGTCGAATTTAAGAGCAATCGTATATATATAGACAGATTGTGCGCGAATTGTTTTTGAATATAGAGTGACGTTTCCAACTGCATGGCGTACGTTAATTGTAGTGTTTGTCTCACTTACTCTAACAAAAGGTCTAAACATGCGCCACTCGTCGCGCAATATTGTATAGGTTGAATATATATTCAAGATTTTAGGATTTAGACTCACGCGCGCTTCTATAATACTGTATATATTTACTTATTTATTTATTAACTAGTATACAATCATACAAAATTATAACAATGATTGAAGGTATGGTCAACAGGACATGAGCCCCATGTGAAGACCAACCGGCAACCTGATACAAAACAATAAGTAGACATACATTAAAGACTAGAACACTATTTACATAACTATATAAAAATTAATAGTTTAGATTATGAGCAACAGCTTAAGTTGAAAG